GCCCATGGAGGTCCACGGTGGAGCAGATGTCTGCCTGCAGCCCGTGAAGGACCCTATGTCGGAGCAGGTGGACGTGCCCTGGAGGAAGCTGAAGCCTCTGGACAGCCCACACTGGAGCAGGCTCCTGGCAGGACCTGTGGTCCATGGAGAGGAGCCCATGCTGAAGCAGGTTTTCTATCAGGATCCATGATCCTGTGGCAGATCCAATCTGGAGCAGTCCATTCCTCAGGGACTGCACCCCATGGAAAGGACCCACAATGTGTGAAAAATGGAGCACAACCCCAATTCCCTGTCCCCCTGTGCTGCTCAGCGGGGAGAGATAAAGAGTCAAGAGTTAGAGTTCAGGAAGAAGAGAAGGGTGAGAGGAAGTTGGTTTTAGTTTAGCTTTATTTCTCAACATCCTATTCTGCTATTCATTTGCAATAAATTAAATTAGCCTTCCCCAAGACAAATCTGTTTTGGCCCTGACAGTAACTGGAGAGTGATCTCCCTGTCCTTATCCTGACCTGTTAACTTCTCATCTTATTTTCTCCCCTTGTTCTGCTAAGGAGAGGAAGACAGAGAGTGGCCAGGTGGCAACTGGCATCCAACCAAGGTTAGTCCAACACACAGTGTGATAAGCTTGCTATGTATTTCACATGCAACTGTAGCAACTCTAGCAGCAGCTCAGGCACAAAGGTCCCAGGCAGACTCTAGCATATTCAATAAATAGGGGTGTCATGACTTCGATGAACCTGAGCCACAGCTCTGGTGGCCTCACCAGTAAATAGGAGAGAGCACTTAGCAGTAGAAAATGCAAAGAAAGAAATTGTGAAGGAAAAAGATGCCTTTGCCTTTGACTGGGAGAGCTAATTCTCAGCAACTCTGCATTGAGAGAGGTGAGAAGTCATGGACTCTGCCTCAGATTAATTACTTTGTATTATTAGGGATGTTCCTAAGAAGGGAAAACATCCCTTTTCCCATGGAAGGGGTCAAAGGAATCACACCTCACCAGTGTTACGTTGCAGGCCAGATGGCAATGTGCCTGTGTATCTGGTCCAGGTGCCCCAACAGCACTGGTTGGTGCCTGTCCCTTGGCCCTCAGAGAATCGTAGAATCACAGAGGCTGGAAAAGACCTCCGAGATCACCAAGTCCATCCTATGACTCAACAGCATCACATCAGCTAGACCACGGCACTGAGTGCCACATCCAGCCTCTCCTTAAACTCCTCCAGGGACCGCGACTCCACCACTTCCCTGGGCAGTGCACGATATTACAAAGCCCATTGCAAGAACGTCTCAATCCACATGCAACTTGAAGTAACTTTTTGTCACCACCATCAAAGAGGAAGGACAGCTGAGAGCGCAGCCCCTGTGCCTTCCCTGGAGAACCACAACGTCTTGCAGATGGGCAAGAAATAATGAAATACCTTCTGGCCCATGGAAAGTGTGATTCACGTAACCTACACCTAGGTACATGTAATGTAAATGTATCTATGCAATGTCAACAGGGTTACTGCAGGCACTTCACTCTTTTATCTTAGTATTTTGGCTGTTTTCCATTTTTTGTCTCTTTTTTTAATTCTACTGATTTCTGATTATTTTGAGCACCTGTACTGTTTTCAGAGATTTTGTTTTCATTGCAACTTTCAGGGTTTTTTTATCATAGGGAGGAGGATTTAAGTTTTCCAAAAAAAAAAAGAGAGAGATTTCTGTCTGGTTTATATGTTTGCAAAAATAGAGAACTGGTCTTTGTTATATACTGGCCATGGCATATTCACTTCTATTACTGAGTCTAATGCTATCGTGCTTTCCAATAAGTCTATTAAAGGTATAAAAAATATGTCACATAACATGACCCTACAACTAGCTGCCAAAGCTAACTCCAGCTTTCCATTCTAAAATAATGAAAAAATCACCCATCCTGGGCTTGCAAGCTGATACTTTCCCTGCCTCACTGGAGGACTGGAGGTTAACAGAAGAGAAAAAGAAGCAAGGAGTGGAGGGGAAACAGCTTTCCTAGATGAGAAAATGTCTATTAGCAGGGATGTTGGAGAAATCACTGGGTACTCAGGAAGGTTCAGTGTAAGCAGATTTATCCCAAAGTGCACAAATTCAGCTGCTGATAATGATCCCAGCATTTTCATTCCAGACCATGCCTTACCCCTAGAGCGGGGAAGGTTTTCTGTAGGAGGAAAAAATAAATAAATAAATAAATAAATAATAAAAATAAATAAATTAATAGATAGATAAATAGATAAATAAATGAATGAATAAGTAAGTAAGTAAGTAAGTAAATAAATAAATAAATAAATAAACTTCTTGAGTCAAGAAGGAGGTTCATCACTCTGAAAGGGTTAAAAATTGTAGGTGGGAAACATAAAGCTGAGCTTAGTTCCTTTGTTTGTTTTCTAACACATCACTCTGAATTTATAGAAACGGATACGATGTCCACTTTCTCCCACAGGCAGAGTTAATTACCAATGTGAATTGTTTTCACTGCTTCCTGCTGGAATATCACAGAACTGCTGACCTGGTGCTGCTGCCTCTGCTGCCTCCTTCCCATGCAGCCAAAATGGAACAACAAAAAATCAGCAAAGATGTGAGAGAGGATCTTTTCCCAGCCAGGATCCCTCTTCTCCAGGATTGCTGAGGCTGGAGCTCAGACTGATAGAGAGGAAGTAGAAGTTGTGTGAAAGTGAAAGACAAAGAAAACAGACCCTTTGAATAAGGGACTCAGACAGAGGAAGGTTCAGCTGTGTGGATATAACTACAAACTGTAAAACATCTCTATCTTTTTGATGTCAGCCAGTTTGGGGCCTCCTCCCCCACCCACCTCCTCTTCACGGCTTGTCCTCAAGATCCTTTTATGGTTCTAGTCTCTGCCACTGCTCCACCCTAAAGCCACAAATTTCCACATACCCTGAAAGACTCATCAGGCAGCTGGCATGGTTACTGAGGAGGGTTGATCATACCACTTATTCACAGCTCTTTATTCAATATGGTACCTGCCATTGGCTCATTGCTCTTGCTGTGGTTACTGTCATTTCTATGAGCAAATCCAGGTGACACCTGAAGCTTAGGTAATCCAGGTGACACCTCAAGTTTAGAAAGTCCTGTCTCCCCAACAGTGGCAAAGTGTCTGTGATGTATCTACTATCCAGACCATGACCCTGACCACACAGGCCTTCATCCCTGTTGTCTTCTTTCTGCCAGGTTCCTGCTGTCTATGAGTTACAATGACACACTAAGACATCTTTGTCCTCCTTGTCTCCTGTAGGGTGCTGTGACTAACTGAGGAGATTTACAGTTTTGTCCAAAGGGTAACATCAGGGGATTTCAGCTGAAAGCAACACTTCCTCCTTCACCTGCAGAAAATGGCTATTGTAGAAGCAGGCTATTCCATTCTTCAGTAACTGACGCCTAAAATAACTCTTTCTCCCTGTCTTGGCTGTTTATCGTGTAGGATATATGCTGGTATAGATCTCACAGGACAACTCTCCCAGGTGGCATCCTCACTGACTCTTTAATGGGTCTGAGAGGAGCAGCTTATCCTCCTACTCTGCAGCTACTCATAGGATATCCTTGACCATTGTTGTCAGCAGAGATTTTTTTCTCTAGTTGGTCCCTTCGGAGGAGTAAGTCATGCAACAGGAACTCACAGCTGAGAATAGAATGACAACAGAAGCAGGAACTGGAAGCTGGAAACGCCCACCCTCTCTGTATGCTCACACATCCCTGAGCAGCTGGGTGCTGCATCTGCACAAGTCCATGAGGTGATGGGACTGTGTGCAGTTTTGTTCCCATTCCTCTATCCCCAGTACAAGAAAGAGATGAACAAACTGGAGTGAGTCCAGCAAAGACCACAGGAGATGTTTGGTGGCTGCAGCACTTGATCTGTGAGGAGGGGTTACCACCCTTTTACATAGTAACCTACAATTACTGTGTGTCCCAGAGCAAAATCCAATGGTTGCCAGTCCAGGCACTTCCTTCAACCCCAGCTGGCGGTGAGGAGAGAAGGAAAGTGAAGAAGAGGAAGAAAGTGAGGAATTCCACAGGGTGAAAACCCTGAGACACCTCCACCTCTATTTTGCTCTCAGCCCCTCCAGAGGCTTCTTCTCCTTCCCATCCATCACTCCTCCTCCCACTTCCCTCTTTCCATTCTCCTCACAGCATTGCTAGGATTCCCCTCCAAACCACAGCAGCCCCTTGGGTGCCTTGCCCTCCCTTCCCTTCCCTCACATCCACAAGTTTTCACAGCCCTGCAAGCCCCCTGGCCAGTGCATTCCAGTGACATGCCCCCCCCAGCAAGGGTGGCCCCACCACTGAGGAACATACAGTAAACAGGAAGAGTACGTAGCAACAATTAGCACTCCCCAAAAGATTTTTTGGCACTTCCCAAGGACTCCCACCCACTCTCCTGGCTCATAAGTTCCCCCATGCCATCATCTCCCTGCAGCAAGGTGCTGAGCAGGTCTCCCACGATGTAGCTGCTCATCCCAGCCATGCTCTGTCTGCTGGGCTCCTGCTGCCTCCAGGGCACAGAGGTCTGAGAATATGAATCCATCCTCACGGTGATCAGTGGAGGCTCCTGGGTCTTTTGGGGCCATCACGAATTTTGCCCCATTGGCTATGCTAAGGGATTTGAAGTGAAGGTAAGGTTTCACTCCTTCTTTGGGGTGGGAAAAAAAGCTGGCTGTGAAATTATGTTTTTGTTCTGGCCTCAGCAGGGCTGGCCACAACACTTTTTCCATTGCAGGACTTTGCATTGTATCTGCAGCACTCATGCAGGCTTATCAGCAAGAAATCTCTAGCACAGAGTTAGCTCTCCAGGCTCCCTGCCAGTGACAGATTTCTTAGCAGAGGAGTCCATGGGGTAAGAAAAGACCTAGGATCAGTACTCTGGAGCCTGTTCCCAAGGAGCTGGGACAACTCCCACCTGCCAGCACTCCAGCTCTGGCTGTCACAGCACACGGCAAGAGGGTGGGCATGACTCGGGACAGCAACAGCCAAGCGTTTCTATGTCTAGAACCTCCACTTCACAGTTTGGAGAAAAAGGAGAGACGGGCAACAGCAAAAAGGACTCCCTGAGAAATGCCACGGAGCTGCCTCACAGCCCTGGTCAGCAGCACTACCTCTGTCTGGCTCCACCCCTGGAGACACCTACCACCCCTTATCATGAGGTCTCACCTCATCTCTTCTTTAAAATACGGGAAGGTACTGACCTCTCCCATTTCCTTCTTTTTTTACTAAGGTGGAGCACTACCAGGCATTTTGGCTGTTGGTGATGATGCAGCTCTAAATGGCATCCACCTGCTCTGCACGGATGGGACAGTCACTGAGTCTTCCATGGGAAAGTGAGTAATCTTTGCTTTCTCGTTCTCCTTCAGGGCAGCAACTTCTGGGGACCCTGAAGGAAAACCAGCACAATGGTATCTCCACAGGCACCCATACCCCCTAGGAAGGTGGCTCCCTGTCCTGCTTGAGGAAGTGATTGAGGTTCCCCTAGCCACAAAGTGTGGAGGTCTTGGGGTAGAGATCAGGTCCCAGGGAAGGGAACAGTAGCGTGAAAGATGGAGAGTTCAAAAAATCCAGATCTTAAACCTGTACTTTCTCCTTTTCTTCAAATGCTTGCTTTGAGAATGACATTGATATTGAAGGTTCTGCAGTGAGAGGGTAAGCCAGGGTTGATGGTGGCCAGGTGATAGGGGTGATAGGAAAGCAGAGTGAAACAGGTACTCGTAGAAACTCACCATCCCTGTGTAAGTCCTTTGCCCTTGGACTACTAGGAACCCAGGCAAGTTGCAGTGCTGATTGTACCACAGCAGAGGCTGAATGTGTTTTAGTGATCTTTTTCTTCTTTAGTTAATTTTTTTCTTCTCTGGCAGGTAGGGAAGCTGGACCAAAGCCCAGCTCTGCCCCAGCAACAAGTTAGTTTCCTTCTTACTGTGTGTAGAAGAGATGCAGTATCTGTGTGATGACACAGCAGCCGACAAGGCTGAGGTTCACCTGCACAGATGGGACGAAGCTGGAGGGCTTGGGAGTTTTAGGGGATCACTTTGGTGCATGGAGCAGCACCTGCACCTCTGAGCCCATCTGTGGGCTCCAGACAAAAGTGGAGGAACCCCCAGGAATAGGGGATGACACAGCTCTCAATGACATCAGAGTCTTCTGCTGTGAATGAGCCCAAACCCCCACCCCATGCCAGCATCTATAAAATGGTCTACCACTAAACCTTGAATCTGTCCCTGCACAAGGAGCAGTGTGCATTTTTCTCCATCATGCTATTTTTCTCCATTACTTTTTGTAAAGAGCATCCAGAATCTGTGGCTACAGCACCACGGGGATTTCCTCCTGCCTCTATCCATCTGATGCAAGGTTGCTGCAGTTCCTTGCCCCCAGGCCCAGCCCACAGCAAGGCTGAGGGCATGTTACCAGGAGGTGCACATGTGCATAAACACACACACACACACACACACACACACACACACACACACACAGAGTCAGCCACTAATTGACATGGAGCAGTGCCTTTACACTGTGCCTGAACCCACAGAGACTCACACACACACACTGTGCTCACACACACGTGAACAGCACGGGTGGCAGGTACCACTCCTCTCTGACTGATCAAGATCAATATCCACTACTGAAACGTACTCATACATAGAAAATGGTTCACAGAATCATAGAATCATTAACATCGGAAAAGTAACCTGTAGGTAAGGGATGAGCAGGACTGTAGGGGCTGGGCAGTTTAGAAGGAGTAGAGGGATCATCTGCCCTGGCAGAAACTGCTGTTTCAGAGAAGAGGAAGGGGTACTCTTCGCCTTGACTGCATCATAATGCTTAGGATGTGGAGGGATGACTATCATGCATTCATTCACCCACGAATAGGTTAAAATACTCCAGATCCCAGCTCTGTGCCTCTCCTTCCAGCCTGTTCAGCACAGCATCTCAACATCTCCAGGTGTCTCATGAAATGAGGATTTTTTTTTTCCCAGACTGCAGTAATTCATCATCATATAGGTACCTTTCCTGAACCCACCACCATCTCCTTCAGCATCAAGACCTCCTGCTCAGCTCTTTTCTGGAGTTCATACTTTATCCTGCTTTCCAGAGCTGTAGGCAGTACCTCATATGTGAGGACTCTGACAATGGTAACAAATATGGGACAGGGAGTAGCCACAAAATCACATCTCACAGGGTATTACACAGGAACAAATTCATCGGAGAGTTGTATGATCCACATGCTCAGGAAGGGGTCAAGGAGGAAAAGAACAAAGAGCAAGGACAAAGAGAATTCCAGAGTGAATTGCAAAGATTTCAACAACACACCCTTTCCTCAGTACTAAAAGTACAAAGAGGAGGCAGAAATCTGAGAAAGACATAGAAGGGAAGGAGAATATCTTTATTTCTGTAAAGTTCATAGACATTTCCCACACTCACATACCTGAAATTTGCTTGCTCTGGTATTCTATCTGACAAGTAATTCTTATTTAAGAAGATTGTGAATGGTCCTCAGTAACTTTTGAGAGTCAGGATTTTCTATGCACACACTGAATATCTGAACACACAGACACAGCTAATTCAGTGTTACCTTTGTTTAATGCCTCTTGGGAGTTTGGATGGTGCAGAGCCTTCCGAAGCGTTAGCAGTGCCATCATTTGCCCGTACGCATCCAAATGGACTGGCTGCCACATGCCAGGAGAAGCCTCACAACAATATATATACAAGCAGATTTAACCCTTTCCACCAAGTCCTTGAAAACAGGGGTTTGAAATTCCAAGTGTTTTTATATTTTTATTACCCGTTTGGTTGGCTATCGCATACTTATTTTAACCCATGCCTATACTTGTAATCCCTACAGAGCCATCTACCACCTCAGGAGAGCACCAGATCTAAAACCAAAAGAGAATCACTGAGTACATGAGTTGGCAGCAAGGTCACATATTCCCATGGGTGAGTATTCAGTTTCAAGAGATCAAGACGCTCTTAAGGCAGCTCAATTTTCTGTTATGGGAATCTCTGTTTACAGTTAGATATAGGAGGAAAATTCATAATTTAGCTTTTCTCCTAGAGAAAAGGTTCCCCTGGGACACTGACACAAAATGATAGGATTCTTGTCATGAGTGTCTCTAGAGGTTTTTATATTACTTTTGCATTATAATATCACTTTCATATTGCTCATTCAGTTAAGCGAGTCACTGTACACAGCATTTTACATGGCATTAAACATGAAAGAGGCTTTCTGTCTATACAGGCAGTTCCTTTAACCTTTCTTCTTAGAAATCATTTCATGGTCTTCCCACTCAGGTCTGAGCCAAGATCAATATCACCTGAATAGGCCGAAGCCAAATGCAATGACAGGTCCTCTTGAATAATAAATTTCCCAGTTTTTGGGTGGAGAATGTCTAACAGTGAGATAGTGGAAGAGAAATCCATGTCCATTACTCCTTCCAATTCATTATTTGATTAATGTCGGATTTTGTACTGCATATGTCTCTACCCCACAACAGCGAACCCCCGGGCTTGCTGCAGTCCACTACAAAGTGACAAGGCTTATGTCAAATTCTCACTTTCTGTACATTCACAGCAGTGTGTTTCCCCTCTCATCTCAGGAAAACCTGAGCGAAATACTAGATGGAATCCCATTTTCAATAATGGCCCCGCTTCTCATGCGTTTTTTTACCTTGATCTGCAGCAAGGGCTTGTTAAGGTGTTTAATCTTGCACTGCTCACTTCATGCCTATTTTGCCTTTATGCACCTTGGGTGTAAAATGGCCAGCAGCATCGACTCTTTCACCACTTGCTCTTCCCCAATTAACTGGGAAAGCAGGCATGGGGCTCAAAATTTTTTGTGAAAATACTCACAGCAACACTTCCTCAAAATACATATCTCATGTGCATCATTAATGAGGTAGTGTCAGTTATTCCCAGCTGTATGGTTTTGAGCATCTGGAGGATAGAGATCAGCTCTAAAATAATACCTGGGGTTCACTCTGTAAACAGTTTGTGGTGTCTGTGGAGGGATGGTGGCCTTGTTCTACCCAAGCAACCAGCTTTCCCCCTCAGAAAGTCCTAGTGATTTGCCCAGTATGGACTAATTCAGAGAAGTATCAGTGGAGTTACTGTACAGTAAAGAAGTGCAACATGGGATATCCTCAAGCTAAGATCTCTGTTATGGAAAGAAGCAATAAAGGCAATTCCATGATCCATTTACACTCCAGTGAGCAAAGCACAAACCATGAATGCACAGCTCAGGCATGCACCCAACAGGAACATTCCCGCAAGTGCTCTGGCATGTCCATAGACAGACAGCTGTGATGCAGCCCTGCTGTTGTGGTCAAGAGCGCGTTGAATCTGCAGCCACAGCCATCACCTCCCAGCAGTGCCGCCAGTCCCACACCACACTCATCATAGCTATCCAGTACCAGTCCAGAGCAGAAGCAGCACTATGCTGGTGTCTGTTCAGAGCAAGTCTGCAAAGAGAACTAATTTCATCCTGAGCCCGTTATCACCAGGGCTCATCACAGATTTCCCACTGCTTCCACACTTTCTTCTACACCAGGTTTTCATGCAGAACATTCTACTTGATCTTCATCCTGTGCTTGATGGAGGATAATGCCCACTTTCTCTCAGTCCTCTCCCCTCATTCTCAAAACGCAGGGCTGTGTGGAGAACAGGAACACTGATGTGACAGCTGCTTAGAGCAACATTCACATTTTGATATTTGCATCTGATAGCCCCTGTACTATTGGAGGAGTTCTGCTGTCTATTCTGGTGGCAGACCCAGAGTAATGGACCAGGACCCCTGTGGCACTTGAAACTGTGCAACCACGGAGCATGGTCTAATCTTTGTTGCATTTTGAGCATACGCATTTGCAGACATCCCCTTCACGTGCTCAGTGAGGAGACAGTGCACTTCTTAGAAGTCACAGGCCTGACCCACAGCTGTCCTAACACTTGAGACACCCTTCCTGGAGTAAGAGAATAAATATGAGTAGTAAAATAGAGCAGGATGGAAAACACCTTGGAAATTTTCCTGTTTCTCCCAAGAGTAGTGGAGGAAGACACTGAATGTTTTAATATTTCCCGTTTTCATTCCAAGGGTTGGTGCCCCAGGGCATTAGCAGCCACTCAACCTCTCTGCCACATATATGTGGTACGAGCTACTTTGCAGACTCTGAAATGAGTGGATTTAAATCTGCCTGTAGGTAATATAAGCTAAAATAATTACTCCTAAAGCTGAGAAGTAGCTGTCTTCAAAGCCTTGCAAGTTACTCATGTCAGACAGCATGAACTCACCTCTAGACACTGGGCATTTCAAACAAACTACTCCAAAGACAGCAGTCAGCCCCAAAATTGCCCCAGAAACTTCCTTGTTTTCTCCTTAAAATCAGCAAGTGTTGGACTGCAGGCTAAACTGGAAAATAAACTGCACTGGGACACTTTGCAGCCTAGAAGCCCTCTTGCACTTATCAGCATTCTCATCCTCTGAGGCCACCACATTCCCTTCAGAAAAAATAAAATGTATCTCCAACATTGCAAAGTTTGAACTTGGCTCCACATTGAGCAAATGTCCCCAGAGTTCAAAGCTCTTCCAAGTCAGCTTATTTCCTCTGAGACCATCCTTAATGAAATACTTATTTATATTTTCCTTGAAGTAGAAATACTGCATCTGATGTTATCTGTTACTTTTTTATTTTAGTAGATTTGGTTTTGCTTCCACAAGTGTGTCTTTGACCTGCAATAAAATCTGTACTGAAGTAATGGCTAATTCTGAACAAGCAAGTAATTATTCCAGTAAATCCAAGGGAGGGTACAAACAGCTACATCCCTCTGACCTTTCTGTGCCTCTTTTCAGAGATTACCACATACTTTGAGCAATAGAACAGAATTTCTTGTGTCGTGGTTCTGCAGGGTCACAGCAGAGTGCTGCCTACAGCCACATAATTAGAAGGGAGGTTAATGAATTGCTAAAGCACATGTTTCCAGTGGATAAAGCAGATAGAAAGAATATTTAAGTGGGCTAAACAGTTTATTAAATGAAATTATAACAGACACTTTGCCCCTTGTCAAGTGTCATTTTGAGATGAATTGATGTAATTCTTTACCTCAGGAAAGTCCATTACTTAAAAAGGGCTATAATCTCTACTGGTACAAACCAGCGTCATCACTCAT